CAGCTTCAGATAATCCCTCGGCAATGTAATCTCAGAAAGAACACACTAGTGAAAGTCTTGCAAAGAGTAATAAGAAGCTCAACTAGCTTGATAAAATAAAGAGAATTTTGTTTTTCACTTTAGACTGCACATTGATATGCATTAATTAAAATTATTAAAATATTTTTGATAAATGAACATTTAAAAGAATTTTATTGAAAATATTTTAATAAAATTATAGTGATGAAATTTAGATTGAAAACCACTTGGAAAAACAAAAGATGAACCAATGAAGTAAAAAGAGACAACCAAGAACCAACATTTCCTAGAATCAATCATTAATCATTACTTTTTGATCAAGTACTAAAATCACCTGTAGTTGGTTTAGTCTTCATAAACGTTTCAAGGCCTTTGAGGATTCACTTTTCTGACTACTCTCTGCTTACATATGGAAAGAATATTACTGTAGAATCTACCAATCCTAAGGAACATTTCTGCAGGCATCATTAGGGCACATCAGGGTCTAAATTAATACACACGATAAACGTACCTCTAAGCTTTGATAACTACATATAGAGATAATATTTATTGCAGCGGAATGGTAAATGGGTACATCTCGGGTACAACGTTCGAAGGCTTGATATATAGAATTGCTGAATGCAACTAGAGGAAATGATATGATAAATGAATATATATATATATATATATATATAACAAGAGGGGCAGGAAGACCCATTAGAGTGCCTTGTCTTTTACAAAAAGCTAGATGACATGGTCTCATGTGTGAATCTTACAAGCTTTGGTATTAGACCAAGACTTATGGGTTTTATCAGATGGTGAATGGCAATAAATTTTTTCCAGGTTTTTCTCATTTGTCACATCCACATGGAAAGTGAGAGATATAAAATTTCTCAAAAAAGGTAGAAATCTATTATTTTATAACATCAACCTTAATTGCTTAGATTAGAAAAAATTAGTGATATGATCAAATCAGGTTGATCAACCATCCATCCATCCATCCATTTT